AAAACATTCAATAATGTAAAGTAAATTACATTTGACTTTTCAAAATTTGTGATAAAATGCATTTAACGTACAATTTACCATTTTAACCATTTTTAAATTTCAGTCTGGTGGTATTAAGTACATTCACACTGTTGTACCATCATCACCAGCATCCCTCTCCAGAGCGTTTCTCATTACACTTGAATGTGAAACATATGTATCTATTCATTCAGCAGTGCTACTGAAGTCTAGTTGAACCTCTGCTCTGAGCCAGGTGGTGGGCAAAGCCTGGCCCAGTTCACTTTGTCAAATTCTCCTTACAAGGCTGGCTGACCCAGCTTGGTGAGCCTTACTCCTTATAGTTTGGCCACCAAAACCAGCAGTTAATCGAAAGGGTGGGAGTGGGGGGATGGTTTGATACATAGGCCCCGGGCCATCAAGTGTCATCCTCCATGTGGTGTTTCGGAGAGGACGTGGACACTTAAGCTTGGGCTCACATCTCCTTTTTGCCTCATTTGCTATAGGATTGGAGCATACTTGCTATCCTCTTTGAGCCCCCAAGTCTCCATTCGTAAAATGGGAATAACATTGGCTGGGGTGGTGGCTCACACCTGTAATCCCAGTACTTTGGGTGACCAAGGCTGGCAGATCACCTGAGGTTGGGAGTTTGAGACCAGTCTGACCAACATGGAGAAACCCCATTTCTACTAAAAATATAAAAGTAGCCAGGAGTGGTGGCGCATGCCTGTAATCCTAGCTACTCGGGATGCTGAGGCAGGAGAATGGCTTGAACCCGAGAGGCAGAGGTTGTGGTGAGCCAAAATCTTGCCATTATACTCCAGCCTGGGCAAGATCCATCTCAAAAAAAAAAAAAAAAAAAAAAGGGAGACTATGGGAGAAAATACAAAAATGATTGCTGTCAAGAAAAATAAATATTTTTAATTATCCTGTCAACTTTATGGAGAGACCTTGAAACTGGAGGAAATTTCCTTTGCTATCCTTTAGCATGCCTAAATGCAGTACAGTAACAAGTCAGGTATGCATATATGCACCTGTGTCTGTGCATTCACATGTGCATGAGCTTCTCAGTGTACATTTGAGAGTGTATGCGTGTATTGGGAGGGAGGAGGCAGAGAAGGTGGAAGTAAATTGCTCTGTGTTAGAAATAGAGAAGAAAATGAGGCCCAAGGAGGCTCCAGAGACAGGGAACTGCAGCCAGGGACGTTCAGAGTCCTTGATGGGGGAAGGAGAGGGATGGGGAATGGGGATTTGGGCCATAAAATTCTTCACACGGTGTGATATAAAACCTCACTCCTTTTTTATGACAACTGTAGCCTACATTGTTCTGCAATACTTGAATTTTCTATTTTTGATGCTATATGGCTAGAAGATCATGTAGGAAGATATGAAACAGTAAATCCTGCTTCAGTATTGGCTCCTGAAGGAAGCAGGTGGCTCATCAAGGTAGCCATGTATAAAATATCTTACACATCATAAACACACATTGCCAGCCTTTATTTGTGTATCTATGTGTATGTATACCCACAAACCAAAAAAACAAAAAAAATTCAAAATTCTACACGTGTCCTGTGCACATTTCTATAGGCTGAAAGACATCACTGTGCCTGCCAGAACTTCCTGCGCATGCAGACTTGAATTCTCCGGAAAGCAGAAACTCAGGTGGAGTGAAAAGAGGAAATAAATGATAGTCCAATGACTGAGCAATAGACAGACCCCTTCTGGGAGGGCAGGTTGCCCTCTGCCAAACATGTCAAAATCTTCATTCTAAGAGAAGGAAAAAATACTTCTCTGAAAACATCAGGGACAATCTTTCTTTCAAAGACCAAAGGTATGTGGCAGAAATCTTCAATATCTGGGTCCTGGATTGGAGAGTGTGGGTGCTCAGAATTGTGCTGCACTCACTTTCTCCACTTGCACCTGAAGGCCCCTGTTAGCTGAGGGCCCCTTCTGTTCCTAAACCTTTTTCTGGGCATCTATACTTGAAAAACAGATCCTTGCTGGTGGGGGGCCATGCTGTTCTGCAGAAGTAACTCCATCGGGGTACTGCATGGAGCCGGAAGCCAATGGCTGAGATTCTCCCACAAGTCCCACAGAGTGACCACCTCTGCCCCATCTCTGTTTCCTACACAAGGAAATTGTGCACTGTCTTATTTGTGAAGCAAGAACCTTTCGGTATCAGGACATTCAGAGTTCTTTTTGGCTTTATTCCATAAAACAAATTGTTAAAGATACCAGATGAAAAGTAATGATGCATTTTTTGGATTAAGATGGCAGATAGGGCCAGGCAGGGTGGCTCATGCCTGTAATCCCAGCACCTTGGGAGGCTGAGGTGGGCAGATCACCTGAAGTCAGGAGTTTGAGACTGGCCAACATGGCAAAACCCAGTCTCTACTAAAACACACACACACACACACACACACACACACACACACACACAAATCAGCTGGACATGGTGGCTCATGCCTGTATTCCCAGATACTCAGGAGGCTGAGGCAGGAGAATTTCTTGAACCTGGGAAGCAGACATTGCATGAGCCGAGATTGCATCACTACACTCCAGCCTGGGCAACAGAGAAAGACTCTTATCTCAAAAAAAAAAAAAAAAAAAAATGGTGGTTAGGAGATAGAACTAGCTTGCAGTTCCTGCTCAGAAGGACGGACCAGCCTATGGAGACTCATATCTTGAACTTTTGCTCCAAGAACTACTGCAGGAACATACCAGGAAAGCCAAGAGAATCCACAGAGCTTCTGAAGGAACTGGATCACCCCTGAAGGCTTCCTGAGACCCTGAAAAACTGTGAGTCTGCTTTATTTCTCAACAGGAGGGCCTGGTCTGGAGCAAGTTCTCAGCCCTGGTCACTGGCTGCCTGGAAATAGACTTGGTGCTGCTGGAGGGGCATGGTGAGGGTGAAACTGGCCTTTAGGACTGTGGTCTGTGTGGGAGCCTGGTGAGGCCTGTTGAACTTTCCCCCACTTCCCTGATGAACTGTATGATTCAGAAGTGGCAGCCATAATCACCCTGGGAATATAACTCCATTGGCCTGGGAACCACACCCTCATCCCCCATAGCAGCTACAGCAAGCCTTGCCCAAGAAGAGTCTGAGCTCATACATGCCCATCCCTGCCCCGACCTGGTAGTCTTTCTCTACCCACCCTGTCAACTGAAGACAAAGAACATAATCTCTTGGGAGCTCTATGGTCCTGCCCACTTCCTAAGAAACCTGAATACTTAACCATGTGTCCCTAGGGCAAGTTTGCATCATCCCTACAGGATTGCAGCTGATGCCCTCTTGAAAGTGCTACCTCTTGGCTGGAGGCCAACCAATACAAAGCCAGTGCACTAAACCAAAATACAACAAGGGGCCCTCACAAAGTCCACCACACTCCCCTGCTACTTCCCCTGGAACAGGTGCTGGTATCCATGGCTGCAAGACCTGAAGACAGATCACATCACAGGACTCTTCCCAGGCACTCACCAGTGCCAGCCCAGAGCCCGGTAGCTCCTCTGGGTGGCTAGACCCAGAAGAGTAAAAACAATCACTGCAGTTCAGCTCTCAAGAAGCTCCATTCCTAGGGAAAGGGGGAGAATACCACATCAAGGGAACACCCCATGGGACAAAAGAATCTGAAGAGAAGCACTTGAATCCCAGATCTTCCCTCTGATATAGTCTACCCAATGAGAAGGAACCAGAAAAACAATTCTGGTAATAGAACAAAAGAACAAAACAATAATCTTTAACACCCCCGAAAGATCATACCAGACCACCAGTAATGGATCCAAACCAAGACAAAATCTCCAAACTGGCAGAAAGAGAATTCAGAAAGTTGATTATTAAGTTAATCAAGAAGGCACCAGAGAAAGGTAAGTCCAACTTAAAGAAATCAAAAACATGGTACAGGATATGAAAGGAAAATTCTTCAGTGAAAAAGGCAGCATAAATAAAAAACAATCACAACTTCTGGAAACCAAGGACACAATTAGAGAAATGCAAAATGCACTGAAAAGTCTCAGCAGTAGAATCAAACAAGCAGAAGAAAGAATCAGAGCTTGAAGACAAGGCTTTACAATAAGCCCAATCCAGCAAAGACAAAGAAAAAGTAATTTTTAAAAATGAACAAAGCCTCCGAGAAGTTTGAGACTATGTTAAACATCCAAACCTAAGAATAATTGATGTTCTCCAGGAAGAAGAGAAATCTGAAAGAACTGCTAAAAGGAGCTCTAAATCATGAAACAAATCCTTAAAAATACACAAAAATAGAATATCCTTAAAGTAAAAATCACACAATAGCTATATATGAATTACACAATGAAAAAACCAAAGGGCAACAAATAGCATGATGAATAGAATAGTACCTTACAACTCAATACTTACACTGAGGCTCAAGTGATCCTTCTGCCCCAGATTCCCAAGTAGCTAGAACTGCAGGTATGCACCACCATGCTTGAATAGTTTTTACTTTTTTTGTAGAGACAAGGCCTTGCTATGTGGCCTAGGCTGGTCTCAAATTCCTGGCCTCAAGCAAATTCCTGCCTCAGCCTCCCAAAGTACTGAGATTACAGGACTGAACCACCATGCTCAGCTTAATTTATCTTTTTAAAATTCAAATTATTCTTTCACTTTTGGGTATGACTTGAATTCTCTTTTTGAATAAAATGAGCTTTTATTTTATTCCCAAGGGGCTTATATTGATTCAGTACGTACACTCTTCCCCCTTCTCTACCTCACTACTTTTAATGTGATCATTACTCTTGCAGGATTAATCTTCATAGGATTGTCATGAAGATCACATGAATGCTGAGAAAGCACTTAAAACAGTACTTGGCATATTAAGTAAATGACCTCAGAGTTTTTCCTTTTAAGGAGACTTCTTCAATTATGAGTAAGCCAATTATGATGGCTTATTATTAATAAGGAATTATTATGAATTGGAAAAGTGGACATTTGCTCCTCCATTACTGCATTACCCACCACTCAGTACACAATAAAATAACCCAGAATTGAATTCTGAATTTTATTAGAGAATATATCTAAAATACAATATTTATTGTTATGATATATTATCTGAATGGAAATATACTCTGTATCACAACTCTATAATAATTTTTACAGATAATACTTCATTTACATCTCTGTAGTTCAAAAGTCACTGAATTACAACATAATTCATATTTAAGATAACTTTGCTATAAATACATAATTTTTAAAGTTTTTCTTTAATATAACATCTTAGAATCATGAACACTTATTTCTTCTGGTTTATATTACATAGAATCATGACTATTTTACCTGATTTGCCTTAACTAGCTCAATTTATCTTATGCTATGGATTTGCCCTCAATCATTCTACTTTCCTATGTTTTAAAAGTAGTATGTGAGCGCACAATTGTGAATGCTCATTACCCTACATGCTGTGAACAAAGTCAAGGTACTTTATTCCTATTCCGTATCCTATATTCTCTGTTACAGAAAGACTACTACCATAAACAAAGCACCAACCAGCCACAGCAGTTGTGTCAAGCATGACAACTGGTCTAGCTCTTCACATTTTATTAGTAAGCCTATCAGATGAGAGATGAAGATTCTAGAAAACCAGACACAAAGCCAGGGTCCTAATCACCAAGGTAGATCTGTGCTTAGCTAAACGGAAACACCCGAAGATTTATTATTTGGATACAGGCTACGGGACCATCTTATTTGAAGGAAGCCTTGATTTGTCTGTTCTTCAGTGGCTGAGCCGGGCGCCAGTTGTCCACCATCAGTTCTTCAGGTTCACCCTCCCCACTGAAGCTCAGTTTACGGAATTTCATCATCTAAAAGACACAATAAAACATTGATAATTCAAGTTTCACAATAGTATACAATTATATGCTTGTGTTACATCTTTAAATACAGTCCTGTGCCAGATGCAGTGGCTCATGCCTGTAATCCCAGCACTTTGGAAAGCTGAGGCAGGTGGATCACCTGAGGTCAGTAGTTTGGGACCAGCCTGGCCAACAAGGTGAAACCCTGTCTCTACTAAAAAAAAAATACAAAAAATTTAGCTGGGCGTGGTGGCAGGCCTGTAGTCCCAGCTACTTGGGAGGGTAGGGTATGAGAATCATTTAAACCCTGGAGGCAGAGGTTGCAAAAGCTGAGATTGCACCACTGCACTCCAGCCTAGGCAACAGAGAGATTCTGTCTCAAAAAACAGAAACAAAAATAAACAAAAAATACATTCCCCGACATTCACAGTATAGTTGAATCAATGACCAAAATTCAATTTGATTCCTAATAAATACATAATCTCATATAGATTATGTATGCATGCTTTAATGTAACAAACCAATTTATATAAAACACACAAATTTGTTGGGGTCGTATTTAAAGAAAATTTTCAGTGAGCTTCAAATTTTGAAATCTAATGTCAAAAGTCTATAAAATCATACCTTTAGATCTAAAATAATAACAATTTTAGTTCCAAATTAAAGCTTTGTTTTCTGCCTCAGGGAAGACAAACTGCAGCATCTGTACAATTGGATCAAGTGGTCAGGACCTGCAGGCTGTATGGGCTGAGTGACGAGCTGGCATCTCCAAATACATAAAAACGCAGAAATGAATTTGTCCAGGCTGATTTGCCTTAACTAGATGAATTTATCTCAGGCTATGGATTTGCACTCAACCATTCTACTTTCCTATGTTTTAAAAATAGCATTTTAGTAAACAATTGTGAGTGCACATCACCCCACATAGCCCTAACTGGTATTTTGCCAATATAGGTAATTAACATTAGAACCCTTGTCACTGGTTGATTTTTATTCCCTTGTAAGCTTGTTTCAGTTTACTGGCCACCTCGGAGATACAAGCAGCCCTTAAACAGTCTCCTACTTCTTCAAGGAACTTAAAAAGTGCTACTTTTCTCCCTCTAGCCAAGGCTTGATTCAAATGAAAAAGGGTGGTTTGGGCAGTAATCTAGCGGCCCATGAATCAATAGCCTTTAACCTGATCTCTTCTGTACAGTAATAGTCCCTCAATCATTCCCATAAAGCCACCTTCCATTCACATATATTATAACATGCACGCTATGGTTACTGAATGCAAGGAAGCATTCTAAGGACATACAGGGTTGATTTATTACAACAGAATTCCAGCAATCTGAATGAGAGTTTGTACATAAAGTGCAATCAGGTCAAAGTTTTGATCAAACCAGTATAACTGATTTCTGCTCCTCACGGCACCAATTAAATTACACTATCACATTAGTCAACTTGACTCATTATTTTAGCATCACAGAGGCAGAGCCTGAGTATAGAAAATAAAGGTAGCAGAATTAGCAGACCCGTTTATATTGCTTACCTAAAATCCATGACCCCCCTCCCCCTGCCCCTCTTCCTGTAAGCCTCAGGGGGGTAAATCTGCCGGTCTTTTTTTTTTTTTTTATTTTTTTTTTATTTTTTTTTTTTGCCGGTCTTAACTGACTGTGTTGATCACATTGCCTAGGGACTGGCTAGGGACTGAGCAAGAAACACAATTCTAGCCAGTGAGAAGTGAAAGGTTTGCTAGGTGCCTTCAGGGAAAAGATTCTCTGCTCCTAGGGAGCCAATGGAAGAGGTATTCATTTCCTCCTTGAGAGGTGATTGTATATAGATGTGATGATCAAAATGCTATTGCAACCACCTTGAGGATGAATTCACCAATGTGCAGGGCCAAGTCAAGGGAATCAGATAGAGGAGGACCTAGAGCCCTTGCTTCCTGAGCTGAGCATGACTCTCCCTCCAGACTCCATGTTGCAGGACATGAAAAATAGCCCTACTGGTATTTTGTTAATACATGCAATTAACATTACTAGTTTAATACCACTTTCAACTTTAATGAGCAAACTCAGAGCACAGGAATTAATGCAGTAGGTTCAACTGCCCTTATCTATATGTGTATTTCTGCCTGTGGGTGTGTACATACCATAAATTCATTTGTTATAATGGTTTTAAATGTCTGACTATTCCTTTAAAGTTGGATTGCTCTCAGTGAAAGAAGAAAAAAAAAATCCGTGTTTTAAATTATAACATAAACACTACATCTACAAAAAGAAATGGCATTACAACCTTTCCTTATGTTACAACTTCAAGAAGCTTGCTCAAATATGTTATCACTATAAGGTCAATCTTCAGGTGACACACCAGACAAGCATGCTATTTTTTAGACCCACCTTTATATACTACAAGTAATTTTCCAGTTAGATACAGATTTCCTTTAAAGAAAGACGTGTAGTATCTTTAGTACTCATAAGTTCATTTTCTAAAGGAGGACACAGGAATAGAATCCTTGTCCCAGACCCAATTCTGTCCCGAGGTAGCTGAGTGGAAAACACTTCAATTTTCCTGCATCTCAGACTTGATCAATGTGATTCAAGCCAGTGAAATGAGAAAGTTGGACAACATGATCTCTATTGCACATTGCAGCTCTAACCCTCTATTATACAGCATTTTTGTAGGTTTAAATCACACTACCACTACTCACGTAGTTACCATTTTCAAGACTGTTGGCTCCTAATGCTCTCCTTAAATTATTCAGGATCCAACCTCTTTTGAATCCTAAGGAATGTTCACTTTCTACATTTCAACTGTACGCTAAGAGACAAGTCCAGGAAAAATTCATTTGCATCCACTTTGGTGGATACTCATCAGTGACTTAGAAGCTGCATTAATCTCTTGAACATCACACACTACATTGCATTGGAAATGTAAGAACATCTGCTCTAAGCCTCTAAAGTGACCTGGAGTGAGTTTGAATAGATACGTATTCTCCAAGGGACGACCCTCACCTGTCAGGATTTAGAAATGCATTCTGATATAAATAAACATGCAGAAAGCTCTTATGTGAGTGAGCAGTAGGCTGGTAATTCACTGATACCTACATAACCTTGAAGGTGAAATCTCACTTTTCTTAGCCTCAGCTTCCCCATAACTGGCAAAAAAAAAAGCATTTATTAGATGACAGACACCTTTCTCATTGAATCTTCACAATGACTCTCCAATTTTATAGACTAAACAAACTAAGCTTATAGTTAATAACAACAAAGATTTGCCAAATGCTATTTATTTACTAAGCTCCATCAGAGGCACTATTTCCACAGCCAGAAGTAGCAGGAGAAGGAACACATCTCAGTCTCTCCCACTCCAGAGGCCAAGGTCTCCTGCCTTGACTAAATTTTCCACCTGTAAACAGACTTGTCATTAGAAAACCAACCTGCTCGCTGCTGACACTGATGGGTTCCTTGAGCACAATCCAGGTCACACTTTCCAGAAGAGGAGGGGTGGTCAGTGAGCCTGGGTAGGTCCAGTAATCCAAGCTTTCAGGAAGGAGGCCACGAGGATTGAAGTTAGTGAAGTCAGCACTCTTGCCCTAGAACAAGGCAAATATGCAGGTTCAAACGGTCACATCAACAGAGTAGGAGGAGGGTAGGAGAGCAGGAGACACAAATAGGTATACTCCTCACTGAAAGCCAAAACACTTTTTAAATGAGAGGTTCTATACTCACTGGCAAACAAAATAAAAAGAAAAGAAGACATTCGACTTGAAAATATGCGGCAGATTTTAGCAAAAAAAAAAAAACAAAAAAAAAACTATTTTCAAATACCCATTTTTCATCTTGGCCTTTTATCTAAAATGATCCCTTACATTCTCCATTAAGTCATTCACTGATCACACTCAGTATTTAAAGTGAGACTGTTGCCACTAAAATGAAGTGACCTCAAGTTGCAGTAACAGAAATAGGGTGGCCCTGAGGAGGTGATTTTCTTGCTCTAGATCAGAATCAAAGAACTATATTCCATTTTGGACATTACACTTTTCAAGCAAATGGAAATGATTTACTGGAAGAGTGACGTGGTGGCAAAGAGAAAAAACGATATTATATGAGAATAGTTACAGGGAACTAAAGATAATTAGCTTGGGGTAGGTGAAAAAACAGAGCAGAGAGAGGGTAGGATTACTGGAAGAGAGATCAGGTTTATTCTATGAATTCAAAGGGCTCAAGCCAGGGGTGTAGAGTGAGCACTTCAGAGGATAAATGCTTCTTCAATGTGAGGATCAGCTTTATAAAGCCAGGGCTGCCCCTGGTGATAAGTTCCCCATTATGGGAAGTGACTGTAGTGTTTAAACAGATGCTCAACGAACTCAACACAACTATGCTGTAGAGAGGATTTAAATGCAGGATGGATGCGTTCAAAGAGGTCAGGCCAGGCACAGTGGCTCAGTCCTGTAATCCCAGAACTTTGGGAGGCCAAGACGGGTAGATCACATGAGGTTGGGAATTTGAGACCAGCCTGGCCAACATGGCGAAACCCCATCTCTACTAAAAATACAAAAATTAGCTGGATGTGGTGATGTATGTCTGTAATCCCAGCTACTTGGGAGGCTCAGGCAGGAGAATCTCTTGAACCCAGGAAGCGGATGTTGCGGTGAGCCAAGATCATGCCACTGCACTCCAGCCTGGGTAACAGAACAAGACTTAATCTCAAAAAAAAAAAAGAAAAAAAAAATATATATATATATCTCGAAGAGGTCATAGAATAGAAATCTCCATGAAACAGGGTCTTGTTTATCTTGTTCACCATTGTATCTACTAGTTTGCAAAGTGACTGGCACATAGTACATACTCAACAAATATCTGCTGTATGAATGAGTGAATAATTTGCCAAGAGGATCTTTGAACCTCCTTGCAGTCATAAGATTCTCTAACTCTTACATATGGATGTTCAAATGATGGGGGAGCAAGATTAAATAAATAGAAGTGGTAGAATTATGCTAGCATTGGGATCAAATTTTGTTTAAAGAAATGTTAATTAAATATTTAAGTAATATTCTACCTTTATTAACTGCTCATCCAAACACCACATGTCATTGACACTGTTCAATCTGATCAAAAGAAATTTCTAAAACCAATGGAGTATTGAAAATCGGTACCCTAAGGAAGTGACAGAAAATTCAACTTTACCTTTCTTTTAATGGAATCCAGCATATCAACAACTTTTTGAAGGCCCGGTTTAGCACTGCCAACCTATAGAAATACATAAAGGGCAAGATACTATCACCCAGTTCGTGCTGTACCAGTTTTGATTTTGATTTGGGTAGTTCTATTAGAAAACATCTAAATAGTGAGCCCAAATCCTCTACTTTATACATAACACCCATTGGTACTGGCTTGATGACATGACACCATAGACTTGCCTACTTTCACTGAATCTTCAACCTACCTTGGCTTCCACTGAGATAGTACTCCTGAACCACCCACTAAAGTAACCCCAAATGCTTGCCTTGATTTCCTTGCAGGACTTTACTATGGTCTTCCCTTCTTTTGAAAATTTCTTTTCTTCTTTGGCTTTCCTTATGCAGTCCCAAATCTCTCTTGACTCTTGCATTTTTTTTTTTTTTTTTTTTTAGGGTCTTGCTCTGTCACCCAGCCTGTAGTGCAGTGTCATGACCATAGCTCACTGCAACCTCAAACTCCTAGGCTCAAGTGATCTTCCTGCCCCAGCCTTCCGAGTATCTGGGATTACAGGTGTACACCACCATGCCCAACTAACTTTAAAAAATGTTTTGTAGAGATGGAATTGCACCATGTTGCCCAGGCTGGTCTTGAGCTCCTCGCCTTAAACTGTCCTCTCGCCTTAGCATCCCAAAGTGCTGGGATTACAGGCGTAAGCCACCATGCCTGGCCCCTTTTAAGTAGTTTAATTTACATCTCTCTCCTTGTCTTAAAGGCCTTACATTTTGCAGTTTCTCAGGATTGCTCCCTGGGCAGCTTTTTCATCCCCCTCTTCCTGCTGTACTTGGATGATTTCATAGACACCTGCAGCTTCCACCTCAATATGTGAATCAGAGCTCATAAATCTCCAGCGCAGACCTTTCTCCATTCTCCTTTGCCACTGGTTAGAGGGCAGCTCAACAGTTATGTCCCACTGTTGCCTGAAATTCACTGTCCTTCCCCACTCCAGAACTTCATCTTACTTTAACATGATATAGTACTGTCTAGCTTCAGGTTAAATGAAAAGAAAGCAAACGCCTGGCAGTCATCCGAGTTGATCTCTTTATGTTCTTCATATTTATATTGAAATAGTACTGACTAAATACAGCTCTATTGTCTTTCTGCCCTTTATCTCCACTGCAGTTAGCAGATATGAAAGAAGGAGATAAACTTGAAAACATTTCAGGGACAAAAGCATTTCCTAAGCTCTTTTGTAGAATGTCCTGTAAGTTACAAATGTTCTATCTAGTCATTCTTTATTAAAAATAGGAAAAAAAATAATTGGGCCATCAACTAACCTTCAAAAAAATACCTAGAACAGCCAGTCCATCAGGTTGCTGCGCAGCTTTCCCAAAATCCCCATATTTGGTGTTCCAGTGAACCAAGTGAAGCTAAAGCCAAAGAGACAAAGCCACAGTGAATGGTTTACACAATGAAAGCCATTAGACTTTATCCAATGGTCTTTTCCTGATAGCAAAGGTTACTTAAGAAATTGCAAATGTGGATAATTTTAAATAAAAACTTTCCTTTCGTTTTAATTCTAATTATCCACATGGTTCTTGGTGTAATAGCAAGTGTTTTCAACAACATCTCTAAGACAAAGAAATGTAGTTTTGACAGAAAGCACACATTTTGTTTCCAAATTTATGTTAAAACAGGGTCCTCCAATTTGACTCTGTTTACTTTTTGCAAATGGTGGCCTTGGAGACAGTAGAGAAGGTTTTGCAGCATTAAGTATGATATCACCATTAAAGCTTATAAAAAGCAAATGTGAAGGTCCTTTGTAAAAGAAGTGATTCACTGGGTGTGAGTTGAATTTACAAATTAAGCTTTTGAAATTAATGCTAAATATCAACTTATAAACATTTTTCCCTAGAAAGAAAAAAAAAAGTATATCTTACCTCAGCAGCATATTTCTTTTTATCCACAGTATGCTCAGAACCTTGCCCATCAGTTGAACCCCAGTGAAAGTGAAACTGAATCAATCTGTAAGTGCCATCCAGGGGTCCTCCCTTGAGCACTAAAATTAAAAATATATATATATGTAATATATGTGTATCTGTATTCCCATATATATATATATGCATACACACATACACTCATACATACATGCGCACATGAAACACATGTCTAAATATTACCATCTCTAGTTCTGTTTTATAGTACTAAATGTTTGCCTTTAATCACATTTCACTCTAAAAATTCAATCCAGAGTCAAGTTTAGTCTATGGTGCTGAACAAAATCACTTCACCTGTTTTTATTTCTCACATGTGTTGTCTGGAGAATGGATGTTTTCACATCTTTCTTTCTGAGCATACTGATTCCTTTTTCTGGGTTTGTGTTTTAGAGTCATAGATTCAGGTCCAGAGAGAGAAAATTTTACCTGAAACTAATAATCCCTCTGTGAAACATTTAGGCAATGCCCATGCAGCTACTGGGCAATGAATTGGTCTGCTACATACATTCGCAAATGTGGGACCCTCTTTTCTACCAAGGTCCCATGGCTGCCATTCAGCCTGCTTTGCCAACCTCTGATACCAGTTCTTACACACCCGAATTTGTGAAATAAGTATTCCATTGATCTCAACATTGCAAAATCCAATTGTCCTTATATAGGCTTCCTTATATTGCAGTTTCTCAGGATTGCTCCCTGGGCAGATTTCTCAACTCCCTCTTCCTGTCCTATTTGGATGATTTCATAGACACCTGCAGCTTCCACCTCAACATGTGAATCAGAGCTCATATATCTCCAGCCCAGACCTTTCTTCATTGCCCTTTACCACTGTTTAGAGGGCAGCTCAACACAGTGAACAGACTGTCACTGCTGCTGGCTAGCTTTGTTCTCTTAATTTTTTTTTTTTTTGGAAACAGAGTCTTGCTATGTTGCCCAGGCTGGAGTGTAGTGGTGCGATTTCAACTCACTGCAATCTCCACCTCCAGGTTCAAGTGATTCTCATGCCTCAGCCTCCCAAGTAGCTGGGACTACAGGCATGCACCACCAGGTCCAGTTAATTTTTCTATTTTTAGTAGAGGCAGAGTCTTGCCTTGTTGCCCAGGCTCATTTGGAACTCCTGAGCTTGGGCAATCTGTCCACCTTGGCCTCCTAAAGTGCCGGGATTACAGGTATGGGCCACCGCACCTGGCCAAAAATTTTTATTAAGCCTCTTCGACCTTAATTTACTCACCTGTAAAGTGGATACAGTAAATCACTTATTTCATTAATCATTTATGGATCATCTTCTATATGCAGTGTAACATGCTCTATTATCTTCAAGAACTTAAAATTCTAACTTGATAACTATCCTACTGAGGGACTGTGTTAAGGAAAACCGAGTCCACAAGGGGTGTGGTTTCAAAGGCAGGAATTTTCCAGCACCCTGCCTCCATCCACTTCCCCATCCCAAACGTAAATTTCTTTGTCTGACTTTCGCCCACGGGCTAGGTAGAAATTCCAGGTGAGCCTCTTTGTTTCAAAAAGCCCCCACCCCCGCAAAGCTCTGGGAGGAGGGGGCTCTGATTGTGGGCCGGACAGCCAATCCAGTATCAAAGTCCAAGATCAGTCGCTCCAGAGGAAGTTTAAAAGAACTCCTCTGATTGGACGAGAACATGAATAGGGCGGGAACAACTCCAAGGTTAAAAACCCACCGCTCTTCACCTAAAGGGATTCCTCCCTTGGATCCCCTCCCATAGCAGCGTGAGAGCTCTCTCCGTCTCTCTCTTTCTCTCTCTCTGCCTAATAAATTGCTCTTTGTAAAACTCTTTGGGTCCACGATATTTATTCAAACAGTAAGCTCACTGCGCCTCTGGGGCCCTTTTCCCCATTCCTGGGGCAAGAGAGGCCAAGGACCTGGGCACATCGGGGGAACATCGAATCCGAGAACTGGAAGTGTCTTTGGGACGTCCCCGCAGCTCTGCTCCCGTCCCCGGGTTACATCTTTGGCAAGCTCGGGGAGGGAGCTGAGCCCCTGCACCCTGCTCCGGTTACACTATTCCGCTATTCTGCCATTAATGTAACTTTGTTAAGCCAAATCAGTACTAAAAATCACACCCTTGGGCTACAAACTGTACATAATTAATAAGTTGTGTCTTGACAGAGGATTAAAACAGTGTGGAATCACTCTTTCTCCCATCCACCAAGAAACTTTGTACCTAAGTTTATAGGTATTAATTGGATTTAACCAATATTTTCAAAATCTTTTAAAAGTAGTTTAGTTCCACAATTTAAATTTTATTTTTCTAATACTGAGATTTAAACATCTGTTTCTATAAGTGTATTTTATTAGCTTTACTATATAATTCCATAAAATAATGAGCCCAAAATTACTGTGGCTCATTACAAAGGGATAACTACCGTACAACAAGATTTGTTCACTGAGTTTCGCCTCAATATGCTTACATGGTAGCAACACCCATTCATCTATTCAGAGTTAAAGATTGCTTTGAAGATATTTAAGCTGTGTGGCCTTTCTATGGTTCCTGATGCAACCTCTGGCTGCCAGAACTGCTTTACAATAAACAGGCCAGGAGAAAAAAAAGGAGAATGAAAACAAAAAGAATGATAAATGGTGTTATGCTACAGACCTGCTAAGAAACATGAATTTGGATGTATTACAACAAAGTCACACCTCTTGGAACACAAACACAACTTATTATAACAGTTTATTTGTTTCCTGGTAATTCTATATGGAAATGTTAGCCTCTAATTCTAGACTTTTTAAAAAAAAATGGGAAAAAATCCCCTTTTTTAAAAATATACCCTTAAAAATAAACATGTTTATGAAATAAATTAATGCTGAAAAAATCCTTCATAACAACTCTTTAAAGCTAGCAACCAACTGGCTGATAATAAAAAGCAAATGTCATTTGTAACATCATTAATTCTACCAAGTGGTAAAACTAATTAAATAAAACCATATAAGTATCTGAGATAACCAATTTTTTACGTGTATCTTTTTTCTCCCCAATGAAGAATCATAGCAGGATCTTACATTTTAAATAGAATAAAATTTATTGTTATTTCTTATTCTTATTCTCTCTCTTAGAAACCTTAAAATTTCATCTTACTTTATTTATTTCTAAGAACATTTAGAATTAGGTAAGAGCAGGTGCAAACTTTTATTAAACAATGCTTGCTAACAGCTAAACTAAAAAAAAAAAAAAAAGAAAAGAAAAGAAAAAAAAAACATGCTCTGGGCTCAATGATTAAACACATTCAGTGCTAATCTATTATCACCAGATACCTGTTTTAGCCCCTGTTAAAATAAAACTTGTTGCTCTGAAGATTAGAAACCCACTGTAACTAGAAAAAGTTACTAAATCTTTAAAGTTTACCTGCTACAGGAGGAAGCAATTCTGACAAACTCTTAGCATGGAGCGTAGTCAATGAATTCCTTCAAAAACATTGTTATGATAAATTGCCATAAACTCAAACGTTTTATTTGAGAAACATAAAAGATAACACTTTGGTTTAAGTTAGGGACTTTATGCTATATTCTGGATGTACTTATTTATTTAAATGACTACATGCCATTTTCTAAACTGTTACAGTTTAAAAGGAAATCTATTTTCTAATGTAAAAATAATGTCTGAAAAATAGCAGAAATTGCTGACTGCATATTTTTTCTCTGTAAAATCTAGCCATGGCAGTGGTGCTTTAAAGAGTTAATGGTTTATTGTGCCCCAGAAATGTGTTCCATGAGGGATGGAGACATAAGTACAGTTTTCTACTCTAATGTTTTTTCAAGACCCCCCAAATTTAATTTAAATTCAAATCTCAACATCAAGAGCTCCAGCCAATTTAATTTTCATGATCTGTCATCAGTTATACATACTCTGCCTATAACACAAACCAAACACTAAGTATAATATTATAGAATAATCTGTCTTCCTATACATATTATTTGAGGAAATCCTATGAATTGCTTTTTGTGAAAAATAAGAGATCCAATAATATTGAAATGAATCACATTATTATACAAATTAAAAACTGAAAATTTAATTTTTTTTAAATTTTCTCTCCCTAATCGCTTCCTACTAAATTAAGACGCACTGGAGTAACAGACTAAAGACCTTAATGAATGTCAACAGTTTCTCTTAAGTCTAAAATATAAATAAGCTATTCTCAATAATCTTTAGTTTAAAACTAAATTTAAGTGAATTCCTATTAAAGAAGCAAATGATTAATTCTAGAGAAAACATGGCATTTTCAGAACCATGTTTTCTATAAATAACCTGAAAATTTTAATATCATGCATTACTGTTTTACACGTATTCCATTTATTTTAAAGCAATAAGACATTTAGCTGTCACTTCCGTTAGAGTAAACAGTCGAAATTCAACAGAAGTTGTTGTTTAAGCTACATGGCAAATGTATAGGAATACAAAAAGAAGCTGTTTTGATGTGAATGTAGTTAACTACAGTGTTCAGAATACATTGGTCCGCTTTCTAGATATTTAGTGTTCTGCTGACACCATTAACTGTGTGCATGGCAAGCCCTTTCATTTGTTGTTGTTATGCTTTCTTTTAACTTAGGACTGCTGCAGAAGAAAACTTTTAAAGCTTTAAAAGCAAGTCCCTGAAAGTCAAGCAGGATCCATCTATGAAGATCCATTATGTCATACAGACAATGGGTCACTTAAAATGAGCACAGGTAAACGCATCCAGCTTCCTTCACTCTTTTCTTTAAATAACAAACAGATTTTTAAAATTCTAATTTCTAAAAAACAGAAATGATGTAAGACTTGCCTAAGGCTTAATAATTCTGGCATTGGCTATCAATATTTGTCCCTAACTTTGCAAGAAAGCAGGACAGTATTAAAAAGTTAATAAAAGTTAATAAGTTAGCAGGAGTTAATAATTTGACTGCTATTCTTTTCTCCCAGATAAGGCCATTAATAAAACATCTCAAGCAGGGAGAGTTATTTTTTAATAATTTTTTAAGAAACCTAAAAGGATTAGCAATTTTTCATTAACTTAAGGTGAATTTAAGGTGGCTTATTTTCAAAGGAATTTAGACGATTGATGAGAGCTCTAACCCAAGCTTCTAGTTAAATCCTATTAACTCCAGTTTCAAAAAATTTTCTCAAGCTGAAATCAGCTATAAAGTCAATCTGCTCAGTTTCTGATATTCAAGTACTTAAGTTTGGATATAAGAGAATCTTTAAAGCATATTGGAAAACCTCGATCTATGAGAAGTTCTAGAAGGCTGAAATATCATTGAGGCAAAAAAGACAGGTAAATAAGTTGCATTTAAATGGAGGAAATAAGAGACATAGGACATCTAAAAAGGTTATCACCACAAAAATAACTCCTAATACAGATGTTAAACTGTTGACTTTTTAAAATTAAGTGACTAAAATAAAAACTTTTTGACAAGTACAGAAAAGAATGCCAGTTTTTTAAAAACATGGCATGCACCAACTAAATATTAAATATGGTTATCCTTCAAATATTCAAATTCTATTTTTAAGTGATTGCTATTTAGTCCCTTCAGCAAACTAGTAAGGAGACAACTGAGAACGTTATTTAAACTCTTTGGCTTCTGTTTCTTCATGTTTATTTTAAGTGGGTTTAACCAGAGTATCTCTACTCTTTGTTCTGGCTTTGAGAGTCTAGGATTGTCATATATATATATATATATATATATATATATATATAAAGGGTGTTTTTCCACATGGTATGATTTTTTTTTGGGGGGGGCGGAGTCTCACTCTGTCCCCCAGACTGGAGTGCAGTGGAGCAGTCTTGGCTCATTGCAACCTCCACCTTCTGGGTTCAAGCGATTCTTCTGCCTCAGCCTCTGAAGTAGCTAGGATTACAGTAGCATACCACCACGCCGGGCTAATTTTTTGTATTTTTAGTAGAGATGGAGTTTCACCGCATCAGCCAAGCTGGTCTTGAACTCCTGACCTCAAGTGATCCGCCCATCTTGGCCTCCCAAAGTGCTGGGACTACAGGCATGAGCTACTGAGGCTGGCTTCCCACATGGTATGATTTCTCAAAATTTATTCTGTAGATACCTTTTCCCTTAATACTGACATTTTAATATATTCTGCATCCTTTTTAGCTAAAGTAACTGAAAATGTGGAAGAGGCAGGCAAAATTGCAAAGGAATCTTTCACCTACAAAGGAGGGCAAGTCCTTCCTGACCCTTGCTTTTAGTATATCTTCTTGCCTTTTTGGAGCACATACTGTGCTCTCTTAAGCCCCCTGGTATTTCCTATTTCCCTTTGCCTGGACTCTCGTCCAAGACATCAAAATCCTTCAAGCCTCATATAAGCCTTATTTACCCTGGAAAGTCTTTCCTGTTATGTATTTCCAGTCTATGCAGTTAGACTGTTAAGCCTCCTTCACGTTTCCATGGAATAATTCCTTTCTGCACTTACCGAAGTAGCAGTCAGGGTCTACTATTTCTATGTCTTTCTACTTTAAGTATTTCCAGCATGGGTTCTTGAGAACAGGAGAGGGACCAGGCCTCCACTTGGCTTTCATGATGCTTAGCTTACCGTGCATTTAGTTAGTGTTAGTAATTTTTGTAGAAGAACTAGGTGGATAATACATGTGTCTCTAAAGGCATGGGTGGGATCTCCTATCTAAACCCTGTGGTTTTCATCTGTTTCACAATCTAAACATGGCCAACTTCTTTAAAAATGTATGCATTACTCTCCAGAAGAAATGGCTGGGGAAAATGTAGCTAGATCTGCTTAGTTACTCCTTATGGAGAAATCCATCAAAGTTTAACAGATTCATGGTAAAATATATAACTATATAATAACTTCATACATAAAATAAGTACATATTCAGTATGATACACAGCATGTTTCAGAAAATGTAAAAATAAAATTTTAAAATACCATCAAATAATGGGAACTAATCTTAAAGCTATTAAAGGAAAAATTTATTCAGAAATCTTATCTCAGGTAAAACATCTACAGCAATTGTCTAACATAGACAGTCGAAGGGTTCACAGTTGCGACAGTTGTGACAACAGAGGTCATTTACTGAGGAACTTTTATGCGCCAGGCACTAGGCAAGGTGCTTTACATATACTGCCCCACTTCATCCTTCCACTGTGGCAGATACTATTGCTATTCCAACTTTACAGTTTAAAAGAACTAAAACCTAGATAGCATTACTCCCAAAGTCTCAGAGCTAGTCGTTAGCAAAGCCAGAACTCAAATCCATCTCCCCCTGACTCCAGACTACGCTGATAACCATGAGACCTTATACTGAAATTCACTTTACAATATATATTACTGGAATAATTTATTTCACTATCCATTTTTTAAGGACTATAAAGAACCCCATCTGCTTTCATTTGTTAGAGATTTGTTTATTCATTGTCCCAAAAAAGACTAAAGCATCCAATTTCTATGTAGTATCCAATTAGATACACACTTTGGTAGACATTACATCATTGAAAACAATGACATCACTGTGGCTCTTTAAAAAGGTACAGCTACAGACTAAAGTAGCTCACTTTCTTTTGTTTTTAAATGACTAAACATGAAATTTTATAGTATACTTTCTGTATGTGTAATACCTTGAGACCTTTGGCCTTGTCATGTTATAAATATACGTTTTTTGTTTTTTTTTTTTCTTTTTTTTTTTTTGAGGTGGAGTTCCACTCTTGTTGCCCAGGCTGGAGTACAATGGCACGATCTTGACTCACTGCAACCTCTGCCTCATGGGTTCAAGTGATTCTCCTGCCTCAGCCTCCAGAGGCTGCTCCTCCTGAGGAGCTAGGATTACAGGCATGCACCACCACGCCCGGCTAATTTTGTGTTTTTAGTAGAGACGTGGTTTCTCCATGTTGGTCAGGCTGGTCTCGAACTCCCGACCTCAGGTGATCCGCCCACCTCGGCCTCCTAATGTGCTGGGATTACAGCCACCGCACCCAAACAATATACAGTATTTTTTACAAGAAAAAAAAATTGTTTAATTAAATGAGCACTGTTTCTTTGGAGTGAGAAGAACGCTTGGGAAAGCAGTGTAGCAGAATCACTGAACTGTCTTCTATGTACTTTTACTTGATTCTAATAAATCATAATACAATGCCAGAGTGAGTGTTCGTGTGTGTGTGTGTGTGTGTGTGTGTGTGTGTGTGTGTGTGTATGTGTGTACCGGGGGGAGGGGTGCACATAGGCAGCCACAGGGTAGGTTGAAAACATTTCTCATATGACCTCCACATTATCCCTCCATCGAATTGTCTTCCAGAATCACCATTTCGGAAAGCCAGGTGTTTATAAATTTTTTTAAAGTTGGAAGGAGGGAAGAATTTTGTTTTCGAAGCTGAGCTGACTATATTGGATAGCTGCTGACAAAGAAGAGTCAACCTGATGAAAATGATTATATATATATATATTAGTAGCATAGGTCACTACTCCAAAACTTTCTCATTTTGTTCCACCACTCTCCTCACTCCCACACCATCACCAAACAGAATGTTTGCAGCACCATTTCATTCAATGACCTTCAGAGGAAAGCACTCAGGAAAATAGGGCACTGGCAATTAAATTAACTGCTGAGTGAAGAAGGCAGCTACTATGTCTGAATGGGATTATTCTCTTGTTTCAAAAGAGAATTTTTTTTTAAAAAAAAGCAGCATTTTTTTCTTTTTTTCTCTTTCTTTCTTTCTCTCTCTCTCTCTCTCTCTCTTTTTTTCAGTGAGCATCCTGTAAACAGCTGTATTACAAATAAAGATGACAATTAGTTTTGTCAGTAATGGGCCAGGTATGTCCACCAACTCTAAAACATCTTCATTTGTGGAATGAGTTTCTGAGTAGATATCAAAATATGCTGCCATCTTTATCACACTAGCCCAATACTAAGAAATACTCAGAAGTATAACATTTTCCAAGAATTTCAGTATTTTATATTGGCACATTTTCCTTACTCTTCTCGAGGCTACCTTAAAGATAAAGCTCACTAAGATATACTTTTTAACGGATACACATCAGCTCTGGAAGACAAATATTTTACAATCTTAAAAGTTCAATTAGTGCAAATCTCATCATTAATGATCTTTATTGCTAGGGGACTTTGCCTTTTGTGACTTTTCACAGGTATATCGCAGTTATTCAATGCCCTACATAGAAGCCAGGGATTTTACAGGGGAGAAAAGGCCCCAGGACACTTCAAACTAATTAGCCTGCTTCTCAGAATCTGAGACCTAATGAAGATGATCAGCATGGCATCCTTGAGTCCTGAGACAAACTGTGCTATTAAGGGGGTTCCTGCTACTGTTCCTGGCTCCTTCATTAAGCTTGGAAAACAGCTGCTGGCTAAAAGACACATGTTATTTTCTAAACACTGACCTGCTTTGTCCTGAGAGTCATCAAACTCGACGTTGAAAGAATGACCATTGTTGAGGATCCTCCGGGAAGTTGCTTGATCATAGGAAACAGACAGAGGCTTCAGGGAAGGGTCATACTTGGCTGTGTGAGTGTCGATGTCAACAGGGGACTGGCGCTCTCCTTTGGCAATGGGGAAATCATTATGCCAGTGCTCAGGTCCTGGGGAAAAGAAGACAAAACGTGTGAATCCCCCACTGTGGGGAAGGTTACACCCAGACCCCTAGAGAAGAGCAATCATTCTGGGGCCAATCTGCTCAGCTCCACAGTGGGGTAAACTTTGGGAAAACACGTAATCTGTGCTTCAGTTTCTAGATTTGTAATATGGGATAATTAGAAATCTACTTCATAGATGTCGCTGTGAGAATTAGAATAGATATAGGTAAAGCTCTTAGATCACTGAGTGCCATATAAATATTAGCTATTTTAATGATAGTTTTACTGATATTCAGCAACTGAACCTGGGCAGACACTAACGGCAGGGCTTGTGGTTGGGATTTGGGATATGCAAGCTCACTTAAGACATTCAAGCAGGTCTGGATCCCTTCCTCACTGCCCAGGCCCGGGCCCACCCCTCCTTTAACCCACAGGGTCGCCACTACCTGGGAAGCCCCACACCCCTCCAAAGATGCGCCAGACGCGTGCCTCTCTGCTCCGCTGGCTCCAGAGAACCAGATCAGAGACCAAGATAAAACCCGATTCTTGGTGTCCGACGGAAAAACTCGGAAATCAGCATCATGGATTCAAACCAGCACTGGGAAATGCCCCGGGACAGTTAGTGATGAGCGCCTTATCCACAGGTGGTGCCGAAGCTGGAGGAGTGTGTAGGGGGGCGGGGGAAGGGGGTCTCTTAATTTATCTGCGATCAACAACTAGAATTTTCCGTTACAACCCTTCCCCGCCTCCTCCTAGGTCGGGTTAAAATGATTCCCGGCTCGGGAACCGGGAGGGACTGTCCTCGGATCCCGCGGCCAGGCTGCGTCTCCCCTCCCTCGGGCCCTGCGCGCCTCCGGCAGACGCGGGGATTCCTCGACAGTGGCCTCGCAGCTGGGGAGAGGGGGGAATCCCCGGCGCTGGGGAGCCGCGGGCTGAGCGAGCGTCCGGGGCGCACCTGAGTCTCCAGCGCACCCCGCGGCCGCGGTAAACAGCAGGTGCGGGCGCTGCGGGCCCCGGGCCGGCAACTGGGCTCGGGGCTCGGCGCTCAGGGCTCCGCCGCGCCGGCGGCCGCCCGCACTCACCGTTGTCCTTGCCGTACCCCCAGTGATGGGACATGGTCGCGCCGGCGGTCGGGGCAGGGCAGGAATCGGCAACGGTCTAGCGGCGGCGGCGGCGGCTCGGGCGCCTGCACTGTGTGTCCGCGGGTCGCGCCGGCACCGGCTTTTATAGGCTCCCGCCAACTTCGTGCTCGGGGGCGGCCCGGGGGAGGGGGCCCGGGTGGACCTGGGCGACAGGGGAGGAGGTGACGGGCGGAGGTGATCTCCCCGCGCTCGGGGCGGGCCGGGCGGGCCAGGCTCCGGGGGCGGGGAAAACGCCCTCTCGGCCGGCGCTCGGCGGGGCTCCGGGGCTCCTTTCCCGCTGCCCGGCTCCCCTCGGCCCGCGGCACGGCCCCGGTGTCCTGAGCTGGCAGCGAGGCTTGGCGCTCTCGGCGCGCGGCGGCTGCGGCGGCTCCTGGGCTCCTCCGTCCGACTGGGGCCGCGGATCGTCTACGCGCACCCCATCCCCCTCCCGGGCGCGGAGTCTGGCGGCGGCGGGGACAGCTCGGGACCCGGGCCCCTGGCGCCTTTCATCCCCTGTCCCCATTGTGATCTGTCTCCCGGCCCCGGAGCCCTCCCCCCCCACACGCGCCGGGGTCTCCAGCCCGAAGGGCTCCCTCTCTGGTGTCCCCGGCCTGGGGCTGGCAAGCTGGTTAGGAGCTATGACCTTGGGGCAAATAGGGATACGATCCTTCAGGCGCGGGGAGCGCGCCGCACTGAGCGCTGAGAGCCACGCGCCCTCTGCTGCCCCGCCGTGGAATAAAGCAAGACAGAGGCGTCACGGTCCTCTGCCCGCAGCCCACGCTGGGGCGAGCCGGGAGGATTGCATTTCCTCGTAGGCTGGCAGAGCCTCACATGAAGTGCTCATCTTCTACTTTCCTTCTCTTTAAAAAATTAACGTGGGTGAGGAGACGTCCTAGTTGAGTACATATTGTTTTGAAATAACCAAAACTTTTAGCAAATCGCTTTTCTCAGGAGCATCTAGTAAAAGATAATTTCTTCCAAAGACATGAGAAAGAAGTTCCCCGGCTGGCCAAGAAAACTTGGCATTTGGCATACCTACGAATCATTCAAAATAGTTTAATAGGAAGGATATTTTGAGGCCAGCCAGCATTATGGCTTTTGTGGGTCCTGTGGCATTTCACCTTGCTGGGTGCCTTTTTCATAAACACGCAAACACATTTATAACTACACTGACATAAAGATAAATATCTTAATATTATAAATTTAAACATTTTCTTTGACTCAAACCTAATTTTTGTTTTTGTTGTTCTTATTTTAAAAGGAAACCTTTTCTTGGGCATGTAAAAGGATTATGGACCTGAGGCACTGTGCTTACAGGGCCTAATGGGTTAGTGACTCTGTTTTGAAGTATAGACAGAATTCATTTCCTGCAAGGGACTTTGCCACAAAAAAATTGGGGGGTTTGTGGGAAAGAGTTCGGTTCTGTGGTCTCTGCAATCTTTGAGGGCCATAGTATTAGAATTACAGCCAGGGAAGCAGTACATAGTTCAATGTGATTGTGTCAGCCTTGACATCACATTACTTATATTTGAAAATACATGGATAAATAAAAGGATAAGTTATTAGTGCACATTTTTGCAATATTGATCTCAAAATTGCTCTTTACTATTTATCAGTCAATTTCATGCAACCAAATATAATTCATGTTTAGACTTACTTGTTCTTGTTCTAAGACTTTAGAAAATGGTGTACTGCTTATGTGGGTTTTGAGTTGATGTCACAGGGAATTCTTAGGCAAGAAAGCAGCAATAAACTTTTTAAATTTTTAGGACCATTACAAAATGGAGTTTGTAGCAAAGAAGAACCTTTTATTTGTGCCTCTGTAGATGCATTGTATCTGTTGGGGCCCAGTGAGGTAATTTTGATTTTTTATATAATTTTCAAATATTAACTTGGTTGCTGTGAGGCTCTTCACTTGGCCCTGGCATATGACATTGATAGGTGCCAAGAATTGAATGGGAAGTTTATCAATGTAGAGTGGGTTCTCAGGATTCTGTGAAGGGAGCTAAGCTATTTGATTAACCGGAATCCTTGTCTTTCATTTTTCATGAAACTGGATTGTGGCTTTCCTAAGAAGGATGTAGTAAGAGCATATTTGATTCTTAAATACGTGTAAAACTTCAAATACCGGTATACTGCAGTTCACCAAATGGATTCTTGTTATGGGAATTTTCCCTTATCTCTCACTTCTGGAAAGTGAATTAATTCTCAGTGGGAGAAGGCCCTCCCCACAGAGCTGCTGTTAGGGAGAGTGTCACGTGCTCACCACAGGGTGGAGAGCTCACCTTTGGATACTCAGAAGCAATCTAAATTTTTTAGTAGCTTTTTGGTATTACAGTACCAGGTTTTTTTTGGTTGACTTATCATTATTATTTTTTTCTCCTGGTCAGTTTTTATAATGGAGTTAACTTTGTGTGTTCACATCAGTCAGTCCCAATCTAACTTTATTTTACTGAAGGCAGTCTTAGCAGGCTGTCATGATTCACGGGCTGCAAAAAACTATTCTAATACTGGATTTGTTAAAATAAGTAAAGTGCTTATATTATTATGTACCTATGTTTCTATTAGAGAGAAGGATTGGTTCATTTCAGAATAATCCTAAGTAAAGGAACTGACAGTAGCTGAAGAAAAGTACTTTTCTTTGCCCCAGCGGGAAAAAAATTCAGCCAGTACATCAGGAAAATGTAATATAAAAAATATCTTAAAGTCTGTGTTCCAATTATTGTAATAAAAAGGCTTCTAACATATTATTAATCCTAGCAAAAATGTAAAAAGAAAAAATATTTGCTTTTTCTCAAAAAACGTAAAGATATTGTTAAAATATTTTACAAAGTGAGATATACATGATTTATTAAATATTTAATTAAAAGGCTAATAAAAAGCCAGATATCTTCAAGTTTGTTACAATTATAGTGTTAAAGTAAATATCGGGGCTGGCTCACACCTGTAATCCAGCACTTTGGGAGGCCAAGGCAGGCAGATGGCTTGAGCTCAGGAGTTCAAGACCAGCCTGGATAACATGGCAGAACTCTGTCTCTACAAAAAACAAAAAATTTGCCAGGCATGGTGATGTGCACCTGTAGTCCCAGCTGCTTAGGAGGCTGAGGTGGGCAGACTGGAGCCCAGGAGGTCGAGACTGCAGTGAGCCATGCCACCGCACTCCAGACTAGGAAACAGAGTAAGACCCTGTCTCAAACAAAATAAAAATAAATAAATATCTATGGATGCCAAGAGCCACTTGCTTCTTGGGGCTCCCATAGGTCTTTGCACACACATCCTTCTATCTAATACTGGCAATTCCACATTGTAATCAGACACTCTATTGTAATCATTGCGTTGTAATACAATGACCCAATAAGCTGTTGACTGCTCATTTGTAAAGCAGAAATAATGACACCCACCTCATTGTTGTAAGAATTCAGTCAGTGAGTATAGATAAATCACCTGCCATGTGTAGGCACTCAGTAAATCATGGCTATTGGGTTCCTCCTAGACAGTGCTAAGTAGTTAGAATATAATATAAGGAATGCAAAATTAAACACCTGAGCCAGGTACAAGGGAAACATTTAGGAGGAATGAGTCTCCAGCAGCTTGAGGGGTGTGTGTGTGTGTGTGTGTGTGTGTATGTGTGTGTGTGTAGGAGGGTTTGGGTCATGGAGATGTCAATTCTACCACACTTCTGTTTTTCTTCTTAAACTGTGCCTTCTAAAGTTGAGCACTGTGTCACATTATTTATCTCTGTATCTTAGGCACCTAGCACCCTTTACGTAGCCTGAGTCCCAGGATACATATAGTAGCTACTCACATTGTACTCTTTGAAATTATAAACTTTGAAAAATCCAAATGGAAGTAATGGCAGTTTCATTTTGCAGAAGTTAGTAAATAATTGTGTTACAGATTACAATTAGCAAATAACATTGTGCTGAAATTAGATTGGCTTTGAATCTGAGTTAATTTACTAGCTTTGTGACTTTGGGCAAATTGTTTGATTGCGCTAAGATTCCGTGTCCTCATCTATAAAACTAGGATAATAATAATACCTATGTCATAGAGTTGTGGTGAGGACTAAAATGATGTAATGTGTGTGAAGGATTTAACCTAGTGCCAATAATTAGAACTTGATTAATGTTAGTTATCATTACTACCATTACAGGTTTCTCAGCTCCTATTTTGTGCTTAATGTTTTCTCTGTGCCAGGTGGGCTACACAGGATGACTCATGTCTTCATTCACTCAACAAATCATTCTGAGAGCTGTTATGTGTCAGGCATCGGCACAAGGGGTACAGCCATGAGCCAGATCAACATGATCCCTGCCCTCACAGAGTTTACATGGGGATGGGTGGTACTATACAATAAATGGCCAAAAAAAAAAAAGCACAACAAAAACAAATTTCCAATACTGATAATTAATATGAAGAAAGTAAATCAGGAATGAGATAAAGAATAATGAGTGAGGAAGTCCTACTTTAGATGCAGTGGTTATAGAAAACCTATTGAAGGAAGTGCATTTGAGGAACCACTAAAAAAAGATCTGGGGAAGGGCATTTCGGGCAGAGGAAACAGCAAGTATAAAGGCCCTGCGAAAGGAAGATTCTAGAACAAAAAAGCTTGTGACTGGAGCATGGTGATTGAGGAAGAGCAGACAAGTAGTGAAGTCAGAGACAGTCAGGGGCTACAGCCTGCAGAGCTTTGCAGACAATGATGCCAAGAAAGGATATTATACTAATTCCACAGGGAAGCCACTGGGGAGTAGCTTATGCACAGGTGTGTTATGCCCTGGGGGCGGGAGAGTATAATACAAACTGCAACAATATAGCATTGTAGAATTAAAAGAAGTTTGGAGATTACCTGGTCCAAGTCTTTATTTTATAGATGAGAAATCTTGTAGAAGTCTCCAGATACAACATGCTGTTCCCTAGCTCCTTGCTTTTATTCATCTGACAACTTCCTTTACAGATAGATCCAAATTTCTTCTGACTATGAAACCATTTAATCCTGTCTCTGGTTTCCCTCTTGGGCTCTGAGTTTTTCAGTATCCTTCTTTGGTAAGATGGGAGGCAGCATCACATGTGGCCAAGAGGCCGGATTTTATCGTTTGGATTCGGCTTCTAGGACTTCTCTACTACATGATCGTTTATTATTTATTTCACCTCCTCAAGCCTCGGTTTTCATATGTGAAATGTAGTAGGAGTCCCCAGGGCTGCTGAGAGTGTTAATCAGACTAGTTTGTGTGTGGTCATGTGAATGAACATGATGCCTGGTATGTTGTTAGCTGCTCCATTAGGATGATTGTTATTGTAGCCAAGAGCCATAGAATTGTGAAATGGGAATCGACTTTGTAATAAGACAGACCTGAGTTCATACTCTGACTCGAACACTTTGAACAAAGTAAGTAATCCCTCTGAACTTCACGTTTTATTCGTACATGGGGGTTGGGCGGGGCGGGGCAGGGGGATTCTAGCTCCAGAACGTGATGAGGATGAGTGTCTGTAAGATGCTAGAAACAATGCTGGCACATTTTCTTTGTTGAATAAATGGTCCGATTGTCATATACTTTCCGTTGTCAAATAACAGGTTGACTTTTCTAGTTCTCTAACTTGGACGAAAATTTGCATGTATTTAATTAACATTATTTGAGTTCTTGATCTATAAAAATAACCAACACTTGTTGAAAACTGATGATGCACCAACACAGTTCTGAATGCTTTACATAGTCCTACTCTACAGCTGGTGACATTGAGGCAAAGAGGTAAGTCAGATTACCCCGGGTCACTCAGCTAGAAAGTGATGGGGCCAGGTATGAAACCAAACAGTTTGAACTATGAGCCATCTGCTCCGTGGTCTCCCCAAGGGCCAGCAAAGTGCCTTCAAGGAGCTTATAAAGGCGCCTGCCTCATGGTGATATAACAGCAATGCATTAAGTTTATGTATGCAGTACTCCTCCATAACAGAATATTCTATCAAAATGCATTTTTAGGGTTTCCTGCTAAACTCCTTTTAACTATTTAGGGAGGAGGGGATAATGCTAACTTTACATACAATAAACAGTAAAGTTCAACTTCTCTTAGTAAATAGCTTTTCAGACTTTTAAAAGTTTAGTTTCTAAATGTGTCTTTGA